CATGGGAGGCTGCCAGGGTCGTGCGTGCCGTGCCCTGTTCCCTGGCTCTTAACCCTCTTGTGTTTCCTGACTCTGGATCGTCCCCCGTGGGTCTGATCCTGCCTGCGGATGGGGATGTCACCCCGTTGGGATGACGCATCCCTGGCGTTGGTGTGTCTCTGATTTGAGGGGAGGGCTGTGTGCTGGGCTCTGCCCTTCCCAGCCCTGGTGTCACCAAGGGGGTCTTCCCCAGTCTCCACATCGAACGACCCAAATTTCATTGCTGTGGCCACAGAGCCCTGGATCCGTTCAGCCCTTGGTGGTCCCAGCCTGGCATGAGGGTCCTGGTGGGGCTGTGACCCAGTGCAGCGTCACTTGGGGTGTTTGTAAATGCTCCCCACATCCCGGCCAGCCCCACATTGTCCTCTCACACGGCCAAACCCTCCCCTGTCCTTCCGAAACGCCCAGGGCTGGTGGCGTTGGGCATCTCTGGAGCTGCCGTCCCCTCTCCTTCTCCCGCCTGAGGCTTCGCCACCCCTCTCGGTGCTGGATGGGGATCCCAGTCCTGCTCCCACTCGTGCGGCTGGCTGACGGCTCCCTCCCCTCTGCTTTCCAGGCAGGTTTCGTGCCGATAACTTGAACAAGCTGAAGAACCTGTGCAGCAAAACGATTGGAGACAAGATGAAGGTGAGGCACGAAGGCAGACGGTCCCGGCAGTGATTCACTGGTGGGACATCGCTAACTGGTGGCACCTCCCCCAGGTGTCTGCTCTCCGGGCCTCTCCCTCGCATCCTCGAGGAATATTTTCACCCTGGAGCTTTGCTCTTTAACCCTGCTGGGGTTTCTCTTTCCTCCCACTGCAGAAGAAAGAGCCTGTGGGGACAGACGAGTCTGTGCCGGAGAGTGCGCAGAACCTCGATGAACTCACGGCCGACGTCCTGGGGGTGAGTCTGACGCTGTCTCCCCCCACTGTGCTGCTGGGCCACCCAGTTTGTCCAGAGCTTTGCCTGTAATTGCCCGAATTGGCGGCGTGAGGTGCCCCAAACCCCAGCCCCAAGCGAGGGGGGGACTGCCGGAGCCCTCTGCCTGCAGGAGCCGTATTTCCCCCCGTCACACACAGCAGTAACCGGTTCTTGCTCAGTGTCCTTCATCTAAAGACTCTCCTGGGGATTTGAGCAGCCTCAGTCATTACGTGTCCTCTGCGAGTCCCTTCCTCCCTGCCCGTTCCCCTTCCCAGTTCGTTAACTGCGATGTTTAACGAGCGTGGCGCTGGCCGGCTTTTGCTGCCGTGGGAGCTGACTGCTCCCCCGTGTCCCTGCTGGGCGCTGTGTGACGCCGTAGCTGGCTCAGGCCCTTTCAGAGCCTGACTTATATCGGTCCTTTGTCCTCCGGGGCTGTTGTTTGATGTCTTCAGTCCACGGTTTCACTCCAGAAGCCATGTCGGTTAGATGAGGGTCCGTGATTAACTATATTTGGCTGCCAGCCCCTTCTCCCCAGCGCTTTCTTCCCTTCCCCACCTCACCCTGCGCAGGCTCTGCAGGTATCCCAGATCAAGAAAGTCCGTCTCCTCATCGACGAAGCCATCCTCAAGTGCGACGCGGAGCGCGTGAGGCTGGAGGCAGAACGTTTCGAGAGCCTGCGGGAGATCGGGAACCTCCTCCACCCCTCGGTGCCCATCAGCAACGACGAGGTAGGGACGAGAGCGCGCTCGGGGTCGGCCGTGTCGGGTCATCAAAGCCGGACAACTGCGGGCAAGCGGGGGGCTCGCTGCGGGGAGGTTCCCCCCAAGCCGAGCTCAGCGGGCGGGTGAATGAAATCTGCATGACAAGACAGTGTTTCCTGCCGGGAGCAGACAAAGAGCGGCTCAGACAACGCTGTACACGGCCATTGTTGGGGGAATCCATGGGAAACTCGCTTCCAGCTGGGGGGCTGGGATCTCCCTCCTCTGCCTTCATTCATCCGGCAGGAATATTTTGCCGGGGGAACACAATTGGGCCGGGCTGGCTGCCAAGCGGCCGCATAATAAGTGACCGGTCGGGATCAGGACTGGGATTCCAGGCTCTGTAGTGTGGGATCCCAAACTGGGCCCGGTGGAATGCAGAGACTGGGTGTCACCGCAGCCCGGGAAGCTGAAGCGATGGGCTCCCCCTCTTCTTCTCTCCCTCGTCGTGT